GGAGGAGGGGGAGGAGGGGGGAGGGGGAGGGGGAGGAGGGAGACAACACAGGCGCTGTTGTCTGGGGTCCATGGTCATAAGAGATTCAGAGATCAAATGATCCCTGTTCACGCCATGGTGTCCTTTCAGTTCCAAGAGAACCAACTAGATCCCAGAGAACGAAAGGGTCAGGGCTGGCGTGTGGCAGCAGGCCTGGGTCCAGGGACAGCCGCATGTGCCCCGTGGGCAGGCTCCTGGAATTACGGAGCCTTTTTTTTTTTTTTAGACAGATTCTTGCTCTTGTTGCCCAGGCTGGAGTGCAAGGAACGATCTCGGCTCACTGCAGCCTCCGCCTCCTGGGTTCAGGCAATTCTCTTGTCTGAGCCGCCTGAGTAGCTGGGATTACAGGCATGATCCATCATGCCTGGCTGATTTTTGTGTTTTTAGTAGGGACAGGTTAGTTTTTCTTTTTTATTATTATTTTTTTTTCACCCGGGATCAGATGGGCTAAGGCCAAAAAGGGTATTAGCCTGGATTTCACCATATTGGTTCAGGCTGGTCTGGAACGCCTGACCTCAGGTGATCTGCCCGCCTCAGCCTCCCAAAGTGCTGGGATTCCAGGCACAAGTCACCGTGACCGGCCTGGAATTAGAGTCTTGAACACTTCCTGCATGCCAGGACTTTATTCCTTGACAGCTACCGGGCAGGTGGGTTCCGAGGTACCCACTGAGAAGCCCATGGCACGCTGTGCCAGGGTCAGCAGCCAGTTCATGGAGACACCGGGCTCTCCAGCTCCCTCCCTGAGCAGGAAGTGCCCCTCTGCCAACCTACCCTCTCCCATCCCAGAAGTGCAGGGCTCTGATTGGTTCATCTTCTTCGCCTCCCTGGGGAGCTTCCTGAGCATCCTTCTCGTGGGCGTCCTCGGCTACCTCGGCCTGAACAGGTAACTGACACCTTCTCCCACCGTTACCGTAGCGATGGTAATGATGCCGGGCAGGGGAGCCCCAAAGGGGAGCTTCACCCACTGACTGGGTTCTTGGCTTTGCCCAGGAAAGAATTCAAGGGCAAGCCACAGGGAGAAGAAAACAGCTTTATTGATGCAGCAGTTACAGCTCCGTGACTGCCTCTGCAGAGCAGGGCTTCCCTGGAGGCAGACAGCAGCCCCTGAGAGCAGTTTTGTAGGCAGATTTATACTCACTTTTCATTGGATGCAGATTAAGGGGACAGTTTATGCAAAATTTCTTTTTTTTTTTTCTTTTTTGAGGGAGAGTCTCACTCTGTCTCCCAGGCTAGAGTGCAGTGGCAGGATCTCGGCTCACTGCAACCTCCCCCTGCTGGGTTCGAGCAATTCTCCTGCAGTAGCTGGAACTACAGGTGTGTGCCAACACACCCGGCTTTTTTTTTTTTTTTTTTTGTATTTTATTAGGGATAGGGTTTCACCATGTTGGCCAGGCTGGCCTTGAACTCCTGACCTCAGGAATTTCTAGGGAAGAGGTAGTCACTTTTGGGTCTTTGGGTCATTGCCACGGAAAAGGGGTTGTGACACTGGTGGACATGCCTGATTGAAAGCTGCTTTCAAGCCAGGCGTGGTGGCTCACACCTGTAATCCCGGCACTTTGCGAGGCTGAGGTGGCCGGGAGTTGGAGACCAGCCTGGCCAACATGGCAAAACCCATCTCTACTAAAAATACAAAAATTAGCCGGGGGTGGTGGCGGGCATTTGTCATCCCAGCTACTTGGGAGGCTGAGGCAGGGGAACTGCTTGAACCTAGGAGGCAGAGGTTGCAGTGACCTAAGATCTCACCGCTGCACTCCAGCCTGGGCAACAGAGCAAGATTCCACCCCCCCCCAAAAAAAAAGAAGCACAGTTCCTCAGACCGGCCCCCTTTCCTCCCCAGAGCCGCACGGCACCTGTGCCCACCCCTGCCCACACCCTGTGCCAGCTCCGCCATTGAGTTTACTGGAGGGAAGGAGGTAAGGACTCCTTTTCTAGTTCTTAGTCTTTTTATTGGGTGCACACTCTAGCAAGGGTCACGCATTACCTCATTTTATTTCCCCCCAATCCATCGAGGTAAGGACTCCAAAACCAGTGCTCTAAACCCCGTCCCATTTTGAAGACAGGCAAGCAGAGGTCCATTTCCTGGCGCTAGAAACAAAACTCAGTGTCTTCATTATAAAGCACACCTGATGGAAAAATCCCAAGGGAGTGGGCTTCAGATACGGCTGAATCCAGCGACTGGGGTCTGTCTCAGAGCTGCCCCTTTAGGATTCTCCCCCAGCCAGGCTGAGCCTTTTCTGATTGGAAGCAGGGTGTCCCTTCTTCCCATAAACTGGAGCCAAAGTCTCAGGGCCATCACTGATTGGCCCTGTGTGGGTCACATGCCCTTCCCTGAGCCTACGGCTGGAACCAGAGAGGAAGGGACGGGTCTGATGGGCGGCGGGGTCAGGGTCACATGACCATTGCTGTTGCTGAGGTGGGGTCGCTGCACTGCCAGCCCCACCATCTGGGAAAAGACGGGGGAGCTGGACCCGGTGGCTCACGCCTGCAATCCCAGCACTTTGGGAGGCTGAGGCGGGTGGATCGCGAGGTCAAGAGATCCAGATCAGCCTGGCCAAGATGGTGAAACCCCGTCTCTACTAAAAATACAAAAACTAGCCGTGCATGGTGGCCCACGCCTGTGATCCCAGGTACTCGGGAGGCTGAGGCAGGAGAATCGCTTGAGCCTGGGAGGCGGAGGTTTCAGGGAGCCAAGATCGCGCCATTGCACTCCAGCCTGGCGACAGAGACTCTGTCTAAAAAAAAAAAAAAAGAAAAGAGGGAGGGAAATTTCCCAAAGAGAGCTGGGAGTGCCCTGAAGAGGTGCTGAGTGGGGGTCACCGAGGCAGAGTCAAGCCTCAAATCAGTCTCAGGATACATATATATATATATATATATATATATATATATATATATATATATATATTTTGAGATGGGGTCTTGCTTGTCGCCCAGGCTGGAGTGCAGTGGCGCCATCTCCCCTCGCTGCCAACCTCTGCCTCCCAGGTTCAAGCGATTCTCCTGCCTCAGCCTCCTGAGTAGCTGGGACTACAGGTGCGCCACCAAGCTCAGCTAATTTTGTATATTTAGCAGAGATGTGGTTTGGCCATGTTCCCCAGGCTGGTCTCAAACTGCTGACCTCAAGTGATCCCACACGTGCCTCAGCCTCCCAAAGTGCTGGGATGACAGATGTGAGCCTCTGCCCCTGGCCAGGTCCCAGGATTTTAGAGAATGGACCAGCAGCGACCTAGTCCGTTCCGTCCTGCTGTGAATGGGAAGTAGAGGTCTGCTCACATCCCCGGCCCTCCCCGTCCCTCTGCAGACTTGGCAGTGTATCAACCCGATGGACTTCCAGGAAGAGGCATCCTTGCAGGAGGCCTTGGTGGTGGAGCTGTCCTGGGACAAAGGCGAGGGCACTGAAGCTCTCGAGAAGACAGAGCAACCTGAGGGTACCCCTGAGCTGGTCCTGGATGCAGAGCTGTCCTTGGAGGATGGTGACAGGTGTAAGGCCAAGTTCCTGGGGCTCAGTGAGCCGGATGGTCAGAGGTGTACCCCTGCCCAGGTGGGGGCTAGACACCCATTGCTCCTGGGAGATCCGGGCCTGGAGGCCTGAGGGAGAAACGGGAACGTCCCCTTGGTCTTACAGACAGGAAGAGCGACTATCTCAATCACGACGACTGGTTATTAAGTGCTCATGGCATACCCAGCCCATGCCATCCACTCATGATTCCCACCAAATCCCCACAGTCACCTCTTGCAAGGAACCATGGCGGTTCTATTTCGCAGATGTGATCCCTGAGGCTCCAAGAGGGTGAGTGACTCGCCTGAGGCTGCGCAGCACCCACAGGAGTCCAATTTGGACCCAGATAACCCAGAGCTCCTCCAGGCTCCAGTGCGCCTGCCTCCTGTCTTCCCTGCACCTGTCGTCACACACCCGGAGGGGGCAACCCTAGAAGCTGCCGTGAAATGGAAGCGGCTGCACCCTGCTGGACCTGGCATCCGTGGGGCAGGAGCAGACCCTGCCATTGACCTGTTCTGGAGTAGAACAGACTGGGAATGGGGGCAAAGCAGGCTGAGATGGATCCTGGGGGCACTGGATGGGGAGTCTGGACTCAAGGGCTCCCTGCAGCACTGAGGGTCTTGAAGCTTGGAGGATCCAGGCATGTGGGAGAAGGGGCTGTAAACATTGTGGGGAAGAGGATGGTCCTCCCATCCCAACCCCACCCCCCTATGAAATGGGGGTGATGATAATGAGCTTACAGAGCTGTTCAAAATCATCCTAAATGAGTCTCCTCTTAGGTGCTTTTTTCCAGTTGAGGCTTGAATGTCCTGCTCAAAATCTCCAAATAGGAGCCTGGGAATTCATTCATTCATTCATTCCACGTGTATTTATTAATCTCTTCCTCTGGGCCTCCCCCAGGAGCACCTAATCCTGGGGAGACGAAGCCAGATGAGAGCTCGGAACCCTGCTAAGTTAGGACTGAGCAGGGGAAGGGAGGGCGTGGGGAGCGGAGCAGCCTGGCCCTCCCAAACGGGAGCTCCCTCCTCCTCCCACCCAGCAACTCACAGCAGGGCCTTTGTCCCACTTACACACCCTGCGTCCTCCCCCGTGCTGCTCACACCACCCCACCTCCCCCGCATCCTGCAGCCGCCGCCCCCTGATCTCCACTGTGGTCTGAGCCCGAGTGTCGGGGGGCTCCTGAAACCCCACCCCAACCCCCGCGATTAGCAGGTGGTCGCAGATTCCCCCCACGGCCACCAGGTGGCAGCAGCGGCTCGCGTCTCCCCGGCCCGCCCCGCCTCCTACCGCGTTTGCTAAACGACTTGTCCGGTTTCAGACAGAGGAGGGGCCTTAAGGCCCAGAACGACTGAATTTTATGGCGAAAAAGGATGAGGCCTCTTGGGGAGAAACCCCAGGCAGCCAATAGGGCCAGGAGGCAAGAGGCCCAGGCCCCGCCCCTCTGGGGGTGGGGAGCCTTGGTTTTCCCATCGATGCATCTAGATGGGGAAACAGAGGCCTGGGCCCCGGCGCCCCGGCCACACGGTGGCAGCTCAGAGTTCTGCAAAAGCCACCGCCCCGCTCCGGATCTGCCACCTCCAGCTTCTGCTTAAGCGGTTCCCTCCAGTAGGCATGCCCCTCCCTTGAGACTTTATCCTCCCTATTTTATTTAATTAATTTATTTATTTACTGAGATGGAGTCTCGCTCTTGTTGCCCAGGCTGGAGTGCGGTGGCGCGATCTCGGCTCACTGCCACCTCCGCCTCCCGGGTTTAAGCGATTCTCCTGCCTCAGCCTCCCAAATAGTTGGGATTACAGGTGCTCACCACCATACCCGGCTAAATTTTTTTTTTGTATTTTTAGTAGAGATGGGGTTTCACCATGTTGGCCAGGCTGGCCTCGAACTCCTGACCTCAAGTGATCCACCAGCCTCGACCTCCCAAAGTGCTGGGTTTACAGGCATGAGTCCCAGTGCCCGGCCTCTCCTCCCTATTTTTTAGGGCGGGGCTCCAGGCTTTGCAGGAGGCCACGTGGACAGAGAGAAAGGGATGCCAGATAAGGGGCCTCATGAGAGTGACCTGGCCTCCAGGGATTCCAGGCAGCTAAGTGCTCACTTGCTGGCCATCCAGTCCTGAGCCCACCCAGTGTTCTAGGACCTTGTTTGGTGGCCCCTAGAGCTGGCTGCAAACCCACCCCTATGAGGAGTCCCTTGGGTGCAAGAAGTAGGAGACAGGCAATGTGTATCATGCACTAGCTGGGACTTTTGCCAGAGGGAAGCTGGACAGAGAGAAGCCTGGAGCTGGGAGCCTCTTTCCTTCCCAGTGTGGCGGTGCCTGCCTGCTAGAGGAGTCTGCAGGGAAGACAGCAGCAGAGATAAAGTATTAGTTCCTGGATGCAGCCATGCCTGAAACCCAACATTTTACATCTGGTACCTTTTTACTTTTTTTTTTTTTGAGACTAAGTCTCATTCTGTAGTCCAGGCTGGAGTGCAGTGGCACGCAGTCTCGGCTCACTGCAACCTCTGCCCCCCGAGGTTCAATGGATTCTCCAGCCTCAGCCTCCTGAGTAGCTGGGATTACAGGCACCTGCCACCAAGCCTGGCTAATTTTTGTATTTTTAGTAGAGACGGGGTTTCACCATGTTGACCAAGATGGTCTCGATCACTTGACCTCATGATCCACCCGCCTCGGACTCCCAAAGTGCTGGGGTTACAGGTATGAGCCACTGCACCCGGCTTCAGTTCCCTGTTTTGATGAAGCCACTTGGAGTCCTTCTGCCCCTAGAAAATGACCAACAGGAGGTTATCTTTGGTCCTCTGCTTGCCCCTCTATAAAACTGGAAGGGGTTTGGAGTCCTTATCTCAATGGGCTCAGCAAGTTTGCTTAGCAGAGCCCTGGCCTGATATTTATTGAGCAACTACTATGCAACCATTACTCCAGGGCTCCGCAGAGCAGCCATGACTCAGCTTCTCACAGCAGCTCCTGGGATCAGAGCTGTGTTAGCCCCCATTTCACAACTCAGTTTCATTTAAGAAGTCAGGGTCGGATGCAGTGGCTCACACCTGTAATCCCAGCACTTTGGGAGTCCGAGGCAGGCCGATTGCTTGAGCTCAGGAGTTCGAGACCAGCCTGGCTAACATGGTGAAACCCCTTCTCTACTAAAAATACAAAAATTAGTCATGTTTGGTGGCACACGCCTGTAGTCCCAGCTACTTGGGAGGCTAAGGTGGAAGAATCACCTGAGCCTGGGGTGGTCAAGGCTGCAGTGAGCTGAGATCGCGCCACTGCACTCCAGTCTGGGTGACAAGGTGAGACCCTGTCTCAAAAAGAAAAAAAAAAGTCAGCATTGAGTGCCTACTGTATGCCAGTCCCTTTCTTGCACAAGTCAGGATCTGCCTGGTCATGAGGGACTCTTAGCTGAGAGGGGAAAAGAGTTATGAGAAACCATAAGAGTGATGAATGGGGATGTGAGAAGTAGGGAGTCTGGGAGGGCTTCCTGGAAGAGGCAATGCTAGGACAAAGGTGGTGAAGAGGGGCCAGAAGAGGGAGTGCAAAGGCCCTGAAGTGGCTGGTGGGGAATGGATGGGGGATGCGGAACAAGGCTGTAGCCCGCCTGGGGCTTGGGGCATATGGGCCAGACTTGTTTTTCTTCTTTTGAAATGGGATCTGGCTCTGTTGCCCAGGCTGGAGTACAGTGGCGTGACCACAGCGTGCTGCAGCCTGGACCTCTCAGGCTCAAGTGTTTCTCCGTCCTTAGCCTCCTATGTAGCCAGAACCACAGCACGTGCCACCACGCTCGGCTTCGTTTATTTGATGATTTGCAGAGACAGTCTCACCATATTGCCCAGGCTGGTCTCAAACTCCTAGGCTCAAGCGATCCTCCTGTCCTGGCCTCTCAAGGTGCTGGGATTACAGGCATGAACCACTGTACCCGTGGGCTGGGCTAGGGTTTTATTCTTAGGTTGTGGGGTCCTGGGGCCAGAGAATCAGGGCCTGACTTGTGAGATGTGCAGAGTTTCTTTCAGCTGCGGTTCAGCTGGGAGTAAGTGATTCATCTTGGGGGCCTCAGTTTTCTGGTCCATAAAATGGGTGTGGTCAGGCAGCCTCTTCAGAGCCCCTGCCCCTCTTTCCACTTCCCCTCCTCTGTCTCTGTCTTTCCAGATCCATCTTTTCTGTTCTCCCTGGCTCCCACCAATAGGTGGGAAGCATGTCTCCATCAGGGAGATAGGCTGCCTCAGTTTACCTCCCCAGCACCTTCCTTCTCCGTCTCTCCAGCAGCCTCTGGGTTTGGTCAGAAAGATATGTTGTCTCTGCCTTTGCCCTTCAGCCAGGATGGGACTGAGGGGTCAGAGGTTTCTGGGGACCATGGGCAGCAGGAGATGACCCCTGGACTCAGGGTACCCCTGGCCTGGCCCCTGATACTTTATTATCTGTGCTCCAGATCCCAGGTCCTCTGCCCAGGAAGGCCCTTCTCCCAACTCTGTCCTTTGCCCATTTCTCTCTCTCTATTTCTCTCTCTCTTTTTTTTTTTGAGACGGAGTTTCGCTCTTGTTACCCAGGCTGGAGTGCAATGGCGCGATCTCGGCTCACCGCAACCTCCGCCTCCTGGGTTC